CAAATTTTGTCTTTAACTTTCATATGTGCGTTCATGTGTTCTGTTAATAAACCCTTTGTGTAGAAAGGTTTGTCGCAATACTCGCAATTGTAACGAGGTCGGTTTTCATGGCGGCGCATGTGCGTACTAAATAAGGATGATGTTCGCAGACTCTTACCACATATATCACAAAAGTAGGGTTTCTCACCTGTGTGCGAGCGCATATGTATTTTTAAATCTGTTGATGTCGCACAAGATTTGCTACATATTTCACAATTATAGGTATAGTCATGTACGTGCCTACGTAAGTGTACAGTTAAGTTAGCGGCAATCTTAAATTCGTGACCACATATGTGACATTTGTATGGTAAGGACCCATTGTGGGTTGATAAATGTATCTTATATTGTCCTAAACTGGAAAGTGTTTCTTTACATATTGAGCATTCATAGGGCGCCACATTTACTTCAATAAAAGCAATGTGATCGTAGTAGGAGTATGGTGATTTATAAGCAATTTTGTTTCGTTTACAACGTAATTTTTGTTTCTTTTCATCTGAACATATTTTTCGCAATTTCGCAATTTCACTTTCTATATCCTTTTGTGTCATACTTAATCCAGTATCCAAATTAAAATCATTATGTATACATTCCAAAGCATCACTGCGTCGATTATTAAACCTATATGTAATGTCATTTTCATCCCAAAGGCATGGAAACTTTTTATAAAGTTTCGCTAAAGCGATATAGTGATCATCAGTTAATAGGGGAGGGTTTGAAATACTTTTTCTAATTTCTACAGGTCTCTGAAAAAAATAATAGTTTGAGTTCATTTATGTAAAATTTCGTAGGACTTATCATACCTTTGGCGCTTGTTTCTGCAAACGTGGTTTTTGTTTTATAAAGGATTTGAGGTCTGTGAGCCAAGCGGGGGTGTATTCCCGACCTTTAGCTTCATAAATTTGCATTCGAATAATCTCAGTATGAAGTTTAAAGCGGAATTTCGCTACTAACTTCTGAATATTTTTCCATTCTGCTGGCATACCGACATTTGAGGCTATATCTTTTAACAAATTCTCTTTCTCTTTTTTTGTTGGTTGCCTAATTCTTTTATCCCATAATGCTGGGTGTTTTGCATAACTAGAAAATATATCTTTCATCTTGGTAGTTTGGAACAAGTTTTTAAGATCATTCACCTGTAAATGAATTTTTATAATTTATTATTACTTTATGCACTAAAACTTACCTGATCATTTTTATAAATTACTAAGTCATTTGGAGCATTATCAGAATAATCGGTATCTACGGATTCCTCAAAATTATTATCCTAGAAAGTTAAAATATAGTTTCCTTATTAAAATTGGAATAAGACATAAGATTTTTATTTGTTAACAATTATTTTACATCACTGAATTCGTCCCCATATTCTTCTGGAATAGCCGCATCTTTGTCTACTTCATTGCTCATATTTTCAGAATCTAATTCTATTTCAACTCTTTCGAAGCCATTTAAATAGCAATCACTTTCTTCTTCATCCTGTAAAAACTCAATTTTTACCAAAATTTTGTAAACATACTTATGGTTACCTCCAGTTCCATTTTATCATCCGACACATCGATTTCCTTAGTTGTTGTTAACGCTTGGTGGTCGATATCTTTGGCATTTTGATTATTAATTTTAGGAAAATGGTCTTCGCACATATGATGAATAAATTTGTCCAACTGAAGGAAAGTATATTCACAAAATACACAATTCAGGAAAAATTTTTTATTTTCTGCCGATAATAAGGCAGATATTTCTCCACATTTTATTTCTTCCTTTTTATAGTCCATAGTCATTAGAGCAGCACTAAGTAAATCAGCACACAGACTACTGTTTTTATACGAATTGTGAATATTGAAATTTTAAGAAATATTTTTAATATTATTTGTCCAGTAGCCCCATACGAAATGTTTAAACAAAATTTGTAAACAAACAGATTGAATACGTAGTGCAACGTTGCCGTATATAATTTACAAGTGACTTTTCCGACATAAAAGGTAGGATACACTAACGACCCATTCCTGTAGGCTTACAAAAACCACCCCCTCACTTTTGTGAGGTTTCTGTATGCTGAGGTGATTTCAAAGGTAGAAATGCTCGTAATTACCTCACAAATTTGTGATGTAACTTACGGTGTTTGTACATTTAACTTCCTTCTAAGTATAGATGAAAAGACAGTTACATATTTATGTTTAAATAATTCGGTCATGATTTTATTTGTATATATGTGTGTATGTATATAATACATGTGCGGATAAAAAGATATTTATATTGAAATAATACCCAGGAATGTTGTAGCTGCCCGAGTTATTCTTTCATATTTTAGTAATGAAATTATTATATATGCAACCACACTTAATAGGTTTTCAGAATTACTAAACGACTATAGCTGTCTTCTGAGAGCGAAGTGGGAGTGGTTACAGATCGTGATTGTATCAATGCTGTTGTGCGGTAACTTACCGTACGATTCTATACTGTGATACCGTCTCAAATCTCTAAATTTGAGATTTTAGGTTAGGTAAGTGACAATCACAAAATCTATTACATTTCATAATTCAGAGATATTTTTAAACTTGAATGAAAATAAATATGTCGATAACAAATATTAAATTTTCTATAACATA